CCCAAAGTGCTGGGATTACAGGCGTGAGCCACCATGCCCAGCTGGTTTTTTTTTTTTTTTTTTTAAGAGGATGTGGTAGTGGGGTCTCATTCACTCTGTTGTTCAGGCTGGAGTGCAGTGGCACAATCACAGCTCACTGCAGCCTTAACCTTCTAGGCTTAAGCGATCCTCTGGCCTCAGCCTCCCAAGTAGCTGGTAACGTAGGCACACGCTACCATGCCTGGCTAATTTTTTAGTTTTTTTTAGAGATGGGATCTCACTAGGTTGACTAGCTGATCGTGAACTGCTGGGCTCAAGTGATCCTCCTGCCTTGGCCTCCCAACAAGTGTGAGCCACGTCGCCCAGCCAAGAACTAGAGTTGAGACTGGTTCCCACTCCAAAGGGTCCCATCACCCCTACAGGGTATCCTCCTGTTGTCCCTGCTTCACTTTGAAGGGCATGGCTAAATAAAAGGGGTTTGGAGAGGGGATCCTGATCACCAGATTCTCAAGGGGAAAGAGGCAACCCAGGACAAAGGGTGGATCTCAAGGTGCTGTGCCCACCAAAATGAGTGCCTCAGTTTCTCTCTGCCACCACCTTTCACATTAAGGCCCACTCCGTGGAGGGGAGGGGAATCTGCTGTTTATCCGCCAGGGCTGGGTCCTGGTTGATCAATGCTGGGACCTCAGGAGGGAGGCAGGCCACTGCCTGCTCTTTGAGCCCATACATAAGAAAGAGAGGGGATGGCTTTCCTTGTTCTCTCTCCCCCACCCCTGGAGCTCAGACTCTGAACAGAGATGCAGTGATGCCCAAAGATTTATGCACATGTCCCTAGCTGAAGGGGTGTGTCCCAGGCTGAGGGGCCAAGAGATCCTTGTAAGCTGAAGGGTGAGGGGCAAAGGAGGGTGGGGCAGAGGGGCCCTTCTTTAGCATCTTTCCCATACACTCCAGGTTGCAAAAATTTGTCTGGGAGGAAAAGATTACAAGAGGGTGATAAAGCTGGAAATTGGAGACCCACTGCCTCAGGCCCCAGTCTGACTGATGTCTAGAAGAGTCAATTCTCCATCAAGCTTCTCTAAGAAATCTGGGAGACCCCAGGCCCCACAGCCTTCCTTCTTTCTTTGTTGTTTTTTTTTTTTCTTTTTTTTTTTTAGACAGAGTCTCACTCTGTCACCCAGGCTGGAGTGCAATGGTGTGGTCTTGGCTCACTGCAATCTCTGCCTCCCAGGTTCAGGCAATTCTCTGGCCTCTGCCTCCTGAGTAGCTGGGACTACAGGTGCATGCCACCACACCCAGCTAATTTTTTTTTTTTTTTTTTTCAGTCGAGATAGGGTTTCACTATGTTGGCCAGGCTGGTCTTGAACTCCTGACCTTGTGATCCGCCCACCTTGGCCTCCCACAGTACTGGGATTATAGCCGTGAGCCACCACACCCGGCCTCAGGCACACAGCTTTCTTCATCCATCACAACAGTTCACACAATACAGTTTGTTATGAACTAGGTACTTTTTACAGCATTTTTCCTCAAAAAAAGCTAAATAAGGTAGATATGATCATCCCCAATTTACAGATAAGGCAACAGGGGAAGTTCAATGGCTTGCCCAAAGTCTCACATCCAGTGAGCGAGAGCTGGGATTCAGACCCAGGCATTCCATCATCATCAACATCATCACCATCATCCCTGTTCCTAACTGTGATGGCATATCACCTGCTTGAGGGATAATGCCTTGTTCTTTCATTCAGCCACATGTTCCCTGAGACCAAGCTTTGGTCTTTGCTCTCGGTCTTTGCCCTGAGGGCTCTCTGTCAGTGCCTCCACCTCCAAATAGGCCAAGGCTAGAGGGGAACATGGCCAGAAGTGCTTGGTGCCCCCGCGCCCTGTGCCTCCTACCCCAGTTCCTCCTCCTCAAATGCCCTCTCCGGAAGAGGTTCCCCTTCTAGGCTGGAACCTGCACTCATGGGTGGGAGGGCCTCACTCAGCCCACACTTAGTCTGGACAGCTGTGCCCTCAGAACCAGGCCCTGAGGCTGGGAAAAGAGGACACAGCTGTTGGGCATCTCTGAGGTGGGCCTCAGCTGCCAGGGGTGTGGAGAAAGGCCATTGTGAGCCCCGCCACGGACCCAACTCAGGAGGGTCCTGCCAGCTCCTGCCATTGCCCATGGGGCGGTTCTTTTCCAGCTTGGGCCAGTGTCTGGGGAGCCTCTTCACTGGCTTGTTTAGGAGCTGCTAGCTGGCTGCAGCCTGCACCTTGAGGGCGCCCACAGAACTGGTGCCCCAGGCTGGGTCTGGCTGCCCGAGGGGTCAGCAAGGGCAGTGGCTGTCCCCCCCTCCCTTCCCCCATTCCCAGCCCCTAAAACTTGCTGGCCACAGCTGCAGCACTAAGGAAGTGCAGGAAGTCCTGAGCAGCCAGCTGAGCCCCCCCCACCCCCCACCCCAACCTCAAGCTGACCCCAGAGGCTGCCTGGTGGTGGGCGGGGGGCAGAGGGGTGGAGCTTGGGTATTAACAACTGGAAAAGTATGAAGAACATCACTGCTAGTCCCCAGCTCTGAGACAAGGACAGGGGTAGATGGGGGTAGCGACAGGGTGAGAGAGTTACAGACTGGCAGAGAAACAAGGAGAGAGAGAGAGAGAGAGAGAGAGGGAGTCAGACACCGCAAGACAGACCAACAGAAAGAGAGAGAGAGTTAGAGAGAAATTCCAAGTCAAAAATACACATCACTCATGCGGACACTCGCCAGCCGATGGCCTCTTAAGGAAAGCTTCCAAGTTTGGGCAGGAGGGTCCAGGTGGCAAGAGGGGCAGCCAGACTCAAGGTGGGATGCAGGAACGCAGCTGGGGGTGACTGAGTGTTCCCAGGAAAGGCCCAGGCAAATGACCCACAGCAGGGGCAGTTTGATATCCCTGAGCTTTTAGGGTAGGGAGGAGTGCAGCTCTCCCCTCTCCCAGCAGTCAAGAGAATCCCAGCTTCTTGAAGTCACTGGACACTGTTTTGAGCCCAATACTCGGCCCTCTGGAACCCCCCTGCACCTACCATCTTTGCTCTTGTTTCTCTGACGCTCCAAAAGAAAATAAAAGGAAAAAAAAAAAAAAGCCCATTCCCACATAGCGGCTGAGCCTAGAGGAAGAAGGCAGGAAGAAGCTGAAAGGGAAAAGTCTGTGATTGTGTGCATCTAGGTGTGTGCTTGGTTGCACAGGCTACAGTGGTGTGCATCTAGTGTTATGTGGACACGGCTGTTCATGTGGACCTGGGCCTCGTGAGCTCGTTCTGTACCTGAGTTCAGGGGCCCATGTGCAAACGAATGCACCTGTGTCTGCAGGTTCCACAGCCAATCAACTAACAAGTAGTTACAAAGCAGCTGTTGTGCTAGGCTCTGGGTGCGATCCAGAGCTCTTCAAATGATTCTCCTAGGTCTCCAAGAGCTCACTGTCTAGTAGGGCTGGTATGTCAAGCGACAGAGACCAAAAACATGTCATCGGGAATGCATGCTTTGCACCATTACGCAGGAACACCTTTTCATACAGCCAAAGTTAATTTTCTTGGGAGCAAGGGTTTTCTTGTCTACAGAACCTCAGAGCTCCACAGTAAGAGTCCAGGAAAATACTTGTTGCTAAGTTGTGTATACATGTGTTGATGTGTAACTGTGTTTGCATCTGACTGAGTGACAGCTACTGTCAAGGCACGCAATGATGACTGTGTGACTGGGCTTATGTGAGCACGTGTGTGCCTGTGAGTGACAGGGTCTTTTGTAATTGTGCGGCTGTGTGCAATTGCTCTATGTGCATGCATGCATGTGACAGTGACTTTTTCTGTGTGGGTGACAGCAACTCCTCCTTGCCCGTGTGTGACAGCCTCTCCGTGTGACCCTGTGCGTGGGTATGTGCCATGGGTCGGTCCCCATGCTCTTGGTCTCCCGTGGGTATGTCCCACCCCTCTGAGCTCCACCGTGCAGTAGCAGCCTGCCTCTTCCCTTGTCCCCATGTGGGTGTGTCCAGCAGCTCCTGTCCTTGAGTCCGCCTGGGTGTCCCTGTGTGTGCATGTGGCTGTCTGTGTGGACGTATCTCTGTGTCTGCGTGTCACTTTTGCTTTCCCCCCATCTTGGACAACAGCCCCCTTCATCCCCTCCCCCTCCTGGACACGAAGCCAGCACTGAGGGGCAGGCTCCCATCTCACTGGCTTTCCTTCGTGTTCCCCACCCCCACCCCTGGACCGATAGCTCTTTCAATTGCCCCTGTCATTCCCCCCAGGCCTTTCTTTCACGCTGGGCAAGGGAGGGCCCCAGATGGAGAAGGGGCACCAGAGACACGTTGCAAGCGGAGGGAAAAAGGTGGGGTACACACACACAGGTCCATTTCTCCCTCTCCTCCCCAGCCAGCAACTCTCCTAATCATCTAGGCACCGTCAAGTGCACCCCCTCCACACACACATTCCCCCCCAGCAGCCGCGTTTTTGCAATTAGAGTGTTGCAACCAGACAGCCATGCTCAACTGGAAGGCGGGTGAAGGGGGGGGAACTTCCCTCTCCCCGGACCCATGCAAGCCCACCCCCGCCGCCGCACTCATACTGCCCTCCGCTGCTGGAGGCAGCTTTGCAAAGGCCACTCGGCCTCAAAGGCTAGGGGTGGGGGCTGGGGGGGCAGGCCTCCGACGCACCGTAAACAAACCGCGGCGCGGCGGGCGGGGGAGCTCCGGCGGCCGGCAACGGGGCCCGGCCCGGGAATGCGCAGCAGACTGGCCGGACAGAGGCCGGGCGGGACGTCGAGGGGGAGGCCCAGACGCCATCTCCGCCTGCAAACCCCGGGGCCCACCGACCTCCTGGCAACACCTCTCTTCCCCAGGGCGTCAGTTGCAAGCTCCTGGGCTCGTGACAGGGTCACTGGGGCGCCGGGAAAGACTGAGGCTGACAGCGGGTACCCCCTGGGCGACCCCGGCCCGCCTGGGAGCTGGCCACGGAGCCCCGCGGCTTTGCATAATCAATCGCGAGGCATTTGCATATTAATGCCCCCTCGCTCCCTCCTCCTTACCTCGGCGTGGCGCGCTGGACCGGGCTGGGCAGCGACGCGGGGGTCTCAGCGCCCCGTGCCGTGGGCGTCCATGGGGGGCCGGTGGGGCCCGGGCCGCCCGCCTCCTGCGCCCGGGTGTGAGTGCGAGTGAGCGCGGGGGGGGGCGGGGGGCGAGTGTGGCGGCCCCGCGGCTCCTCCGGCAGAGGCGGCGGCCGCTCTGGCTCCTCCCTCCCCCGCCCCGCTCCGGCTGGGGCTCGGGCTCGGCGCGCCCGGCCGGCTCGCGGCTGCTCCCTGCAGGCCGCCTCGCCGCCGCCCGCCCCCGCCCCACGCCCCCGCCCCCCGCCCCCTGCCGCGCCCCGGGACCCCCGCCAGCGGCCCGGCTGCCCCTCGGCCGCCTCTGCCCCGCCCCGCTCGGACTCGCCCTCCCCCGCCGGGCGGCTCCCGCAGGAGTGGGTACTTGGTGACATATTTTGGAAAAGATGTCATTAAAAAATAGCCTTTGCTTGCCTAGAGAATTGGGGGTTTTCGGGTTTGCACCATGGGGGTGGGGGAGGAAGTATAGAGGAGCCGCCTGCACCTTACACATGAGGAGAGTCTAAACACCAAACGCTTGCAGGTGTAGAGTTTGTTTAGGAGTTCGGGTCCCTTCTCCGCCAGTAACTCACTGTGTGACCTTGACAAATCACCACTGCTGTCGGGGGCAGAGCTTCCTCAAGCTTCAGCTGCGAGGGCTGGGCAGATCACCCCTGACGTCCTTTTAACTTCAATCATCCTGTGTTTTTAATCCTTGTGTGGGCTCAGTACCTCCCTCCTCTCTCATTTCTAACATCAATACCGATCCACTGCCTCCCCTTTCCAACATCATCCTTCTCCATATAGGCTCTTTCTATTCTCTGTCACCAGCCATTTCCCCAACAATCTGCTCCCTCTCCTCAGCTCAGGGAGGGGACAAGATTTGCCATACCCCCTCAATTCCTAGCTCCTGGATGGTGGTATTTCCCCCGTGTTTGCTCCCACCAAAATCCAAATGGTACCAGAGTCAATCTAAGGAAGCCGGTGGGCTGCATACAAATGGACCCCCTAACCCAGCCCAAAGGAGATGTCTCCACTGTGCCAGCCCCACTCCCAGCACACACACACACACACACACACACACACACAAACACACACACCTGCATTCATGGACATAAAACCAACCCAGTGACGCCAGAGCCCCTTTCATCTTGGGATCTCCCAGTTCCAGGCCAAGCACTAATTACCCCAGCACCCCCCTGGCCCCGCCGGTTCCCCTGCTGTCATTAGCCCAGTTTTACCAGCGGGGGCCACGGCCTTCCCATGGCTCTCAGGGTGGGGCCCTGCTACACAGTCTGCTCTTGGAGAGGGGTGTGTGTTTGTGTGTGAGCATGTGTGTCGGGGGAGCTGCTCAGCTCATGGCCCAGGTTATACTGGATAGAATCACTTGCCGAGTGTGGGATCCTGACCCACAGCTTATCCAAGCTGGGCTGCCCTTGCTCATGTCTCATTCTCAGCCACCTGCATCCTCAGTGCTATTGGAGCCGCTTCTTTCACAGGGGATGCTGGAATTTGTAATGCTTAGCGGAGGGGAGGGTACCTCTCTGGGGGTCCCTGGAACCATGGAGATGAGAAAAGCAGCTGGGATGAAATCCATGGCATGCAGAGTGCAGCGGTGGTGTTGAGGGCATGCCGTAGGTGAAGGGCGCCTGTGATGTGCAGTGGCAGGTAGAATGGGGAATTGAGGTAGCAGTGTGCAGAGTCTCCATGCGGTAAGCGAACCTGTGATCAGTCTGGGCTCACGAGAGACAAGCAACAGCTGCAGTGTGGGGCAGGAGGCTGCAGCGTGCAGAGCCAGTGCAGTGAGCAGAATGAGGTGCACTGAGGGTGGCTGTCTGCCAGTCGGTGCCACCTCCTTGGTGATCAGGTTTGGCCGAAACCCTGGGGTGCACGGCTGCAGTGTGTAGTGCTTGGGGTCTGTGCTCTACCCTGTATGGAACTAGTCCCTTGGGATTGGGCTGCCTAAGGAGCTGGGAGGGAATCCTGATGCATGAGATACATTTATACTCTGCATCACAAAGACAGAACTAGGAGGCAGTGGGGAGGGCCAGCAGTAATCTGGATCAGGGCCGGAGTGATGGAGTCCAGAGGCGGAGGAGGAAGGTGCTGTGGTTTTGTCTCCCTTCCATCCTGGCTTTCCCCACTATATCTCTCTTTGATGCAAGGCCCTATAATATTGTGTGGGAAAGACTTTCTGAAATCCTAGACCCAAAGCCATATAAAACGATGTGCCTTCTGATTCACTTTTTTTTTTTCCTGAGGGGCAGAGTAGGGCACTCAAAGACAAGGGTTTACCATTTCCATCTTCTCCCCAACTCCTTTTTTTTTTTTTTCTTTGAGACGGAGTTTTTCTCTTGTTGCCCAGGCTGGAGTGCAATGCTGTGATCTCGGTTCACTGCAACCTCCACCTCCTGGGTTCAAGTGATTCTCCTGCCTTAGTGTCCCTGTAGCTGGGACTACAGGCATGTGCCACCATGCTGGCTAATTCTGTATTTTTTTAGTAGAGACGGGGTTTCTCCATGCTGGTTAGGCTGGTCTTGAACTACTGACCTCAGATTATCCATCCGCCTCGGTCTCCCAAAGTGCTGGGATTACAGGTGTGAACCACCATGCCCAACCCCCATCTTCTCCTTTTAAAAATTTATTATTATCATTATTTGAGACAGAGTCTTCCTCTTTTGCCCAGGCTGGGGTGCAGTGGCACAATCTTGGCTCACTGCAACCTCTGCCTCCTGAGTTCAAGGGATTTTCATGTCCCACCCTCCCAAGTAGCTGGGATTGTAGGCATGTGTTAGCATGCCCAGCTAATTGTTTTTTATTTTTTTATATTTTGGTAGAGACGGCATTTCACCATGTTGGTCAGGCTGGTCTTGAACTCCTGGCCTCAAGTAATCCTCCTGCCTTGGCCTCCCAAAGTGCTGGGATTACAGGCATGAGCCACCGTGCTGGCCACCCGCGTCTTCTCTTTACCTCTCTCTCTTTCCTGGGCTCCCAGTATGGACTGGTGACAGATCTGGGCAGGACAAAGTGAAGGGCACACTGCCTTCAAAGCAGGCCTCTGCCCAGGTGCCAGGATCCAGCCCAGGTCTGGGCTTAGAGCCCCTGTCCCTGTGTTGCATCATCCGTCTTCCCACCCCACTCACCCTGCCCACCCATTTATTGAAGCTGCTAGCTCTTCTTAGATTCAGTTCATCCTCGGCTCCTGCTCTGTCCTTGTCATGAAACCCCCCACCAGGGCTGTCCTCTCCCATTCCCCACCTCTGCTTCAGCACATTCCCTGAATCTATCAGAAGGGTAGGGGCAGCATGAATAAGGATGGATAGACCCTCCAAGGGGATATGTCTGATGGCCCCTGCAGCTGAGATTTCCATTGCCAAGGAGGTAGCAGGAACAGCCTGTTCTCTGGGCTCCCATCAGAACAGCCATGCCCAGGCCCCTCCCTCTTTTCCTCCGTCTCTCCCTCCCTTCCTTCCAGACTGTTGCTAGGAAGCACCCCAAGATTTCTTGAGGATACGACCCCTAGGAAACAAGGTAACCAGATATCTTTCTGAAGAGGTTTTTTTTTCAAAGTCTGGCAGCTGAGACCCCACACAGCATCTTCTACCCCTGCCCAGAAGCCTTACACATCTCTAACAGTTTGGGGAAACAGGAGACAGGTCCCTCTACCAGCCACCCTGGAACAAGCTCTGTGGCCTGGCCTCAGAAATTCCCCTCCCCTAGCTCACCTTGACCTCCTGGGCCTAGGTCAGCAAGTGATGGCACATCCAGCATACACCTCTAGACTCTGCAGATAGAGCTGAACTTACTGGGGGTGCTTTGAAAAGACAGCAGAGGAAACTGAGGCTCTGGCAGCTAAGAGAACTCAAAGCTCAGATGTTTCTCCCTCTGAGGGATTTCCCAATCAAGAAGAGTGGTGGAAACGGAGGAAAGAAAGTCGGAGAGCAGGCTGGGCAAGGTGGCTCACATTACTGGTACTTTGGGAGGCTGAGGTGGCAGGATCTCTTCAGGTCAGGAGTTCAAGACCAGCCTGGGCAACATAATGAGACCCCCGTATCTCCAAAAAAAAAAAAAACAAAAACCCACAAATGATCTGGGTGTGGTGGCGTGCACTGCACCTTCAGTCCTAGCTACTTGGGAGGATGAGGCAGGTGAGAGATTGGGAAATTAGCAAACAATTATCCTGGTAAGAGAAAGTGACCATTTAATTCTCCCCTTTGTCCCATCAGGTGCCCTTGCTATGGGTCACAAAAGAGGGAGCCAGGGAAGGGACCAGGACTGGCTGAGGCTTGCTTTTGGTAGCTGAGGCAAGAAATGGAAAAAGAAGCTGACACCTTTTCCAGGCTGTCTTTCAGGGTTTCTCCTACCTTTATTCATTCATCTGACACCTTTTTTTAAAGCATTTAATACGTGCCAAGTATTAGATTCCCCAAATGCTCCCAGCTTCTGGTTTCACTTTGCCTTACAGTCTTCTCATCCTGTTTTTGCCAGCAGGAGAGAGGAGAGGAGGGGGAGCAAGGAAGTCTCCCTTGCCATCAGAGTTTGGGGCTTACCTTTCTGCAGTATCTCCTCCAGTTAAAGGAGAGGACGGGACAGTATGATATGGAAGCCAAAAGTGGAAAGTAGAGCAGCTCTCAGGGCCTGGAGGGAGGGGCAGTACAAAGGAAATGGAGGCTGACCTCCCTTCCCAGCCGCTGTCTGGTCCAGGCCTCAGGTTCACAGCACCTCTTCTCTGTGCGGGGAATATGGAGAGGGAAGGCCATCCTTCAGGGTGTTAGAGGGGAAGCCACTCCAAGAGTTGATTCAAATTCTGCCTTTCACTCTCCAGGGGTAGTGGGAAGACAGAGACAGGCAACTGTGGGGGACAGGCACTGTGGGTGGCAGTGACACCCTGAGCTGAGTCCCTGAGGTGCAGCCACCTTGCAGCCTCTTTTCCATCACCCTCTCCCCCAGATAGATAGAAAGAAGGGATTTTGCTTTGGTGACTGGTATGAGGAGAAACTGGTCTGGAGCCAGCTGTGTATGAGTGTGTGGGAATGACTGTCTTTCTTTTCCCATCCACCTGCTGCCCATAGTGGGGGGACCCAGGCAAGCTTCCAGAGAAAAATGTTCCACTTCGGGAAAAGGAATGACTCAGTTTCCCTATGGCGA